ACCACAGTGATTCTACATTTCTCTCCTGTGCTGTTGCTTCAAGTTCCCATGCTACTAGTTTGGACCCAGATCTTACATGCCACCCTGGAGTTGTCCAAAGTTCTCTCATCCTTTCATCATGCAAGTGAAGAGCAAATCACCATTTCTTCAGCCTGCCACTCCCAGGGACAGGCACTGATGCACACATGGTGTCAGCCAGCTTCATGTTCCTTCTCCTAGCTCTAAACAAGAGGGTCCTCTGAGCAAGCACTGCTCTTCTTCCACCACAGAACCCCCCAGCATTTTCTATGCACAATGAGCATCGCTGCAACAACCCAAATGAAGTGTTTAATGCAGAGTGGAGCCCTGCCACGTCCCTGTACACAAACAGCTCTCACCTGGGACAATGTGGAGCCAGCACTGAACAAACTTTAACCTTGTTCTCCCAGTTAGTGCCAGCCTTGGCTCTCCCTGTGGCCACCAGCAGCCACAGGAGATCCTGCACAGGCCTGCTGTCAAATGGGGATAAACCACTGCCTTTAGAGATGACACAGACCAAGTGTGACCAACACCAGCACCAGATCCCCAGGTCAGGCTGCCTCTTGTTCTGCATGACCGTTCACAAACTCTCATTTTAAAGATGCTTTTTCTTCTTATCTATTTCACAGACTACTTCACTGCCTTACAATAACATACCAACACAGATGAGTTAACTGCTGGTGAGACCCTCTGAGTGGTCTGGTAGGCTTCACATTTGCAGGGAGGGGGGAAATAAAATCAAGACAGCAGCTGTGGCAAAACATACAGCACATTTCATGCCTTGGAATAGAGCACTCAGCCTCCAGTGGAGCACAAATGTGCTCCTATGGCAAAAACGAGAGAAAACTGTTTTGGTTATTTCTTTATTGACTTTTAAGTGATCATTAAATCAAGAAGAACCCACCAGGTTCTCTTAGGAAACCTCCTACAGTAGCCTACAAAGGGAATTTTATGCCTGCAAGCTACTCTCATCCTGTTCACAGAAGTTCCATCTCAAAAGCACTCCTGTACTTGCAAGAGACACCCCCTTCCCTCTTTGCTCACCCTGCTGCAGCACAGAAGCACCAGCAGCAGGAGGAGCACGATCAGAAAGGCTGCAGACAGCTCCAGCTACCATGGCTCTCCTGAGCTGAGCCCAACAGGCAGCGCTGGAAAAAATTACTTCAGTCCAATGCTGGCACACACAGACCAAGGGTGAGCCAGCTGCCCTCCCCCTCCCTCCCCGTGGCAAGGGGCTGCTGAGCAGCTGTGGCCCCCAGCCCCTGCTGAGCAGCTCCTACCTGACTTTGCCCTCGTACTGCCCGTAGAAGAGGTGCTGGCGGCTCATCCACTCGGCCATCACGAACTCCAGCGCAGGCTTCCCCGTGGGGCCGGGGAGGCTGCACAGGAACTCCAGGAGTGGCTCCAGTTGGGAGTGAACCAAGTGAGCAAACACCATAATCAAGGACTACAGGAGGAGAAAGGGAACGTTAGCTGCACATAACTTAACAGCTGAAGATGTTTTATCAAATATTCAAGTACTGGGCTCCCTGCAGGAGCAGAGGCTGGGCTTACCAACCCCACGTGGAAGTGCAACCATCACCTCCTGCAAGCCACTGCGTGCTACAAGGGCAGGGAATAAGCTGCTACACTCAAAAGCAGTATTTAACCACCCCAAAACCAGCAAGTATAAATATACTCACACCTATGACCCAAACTAACAAACCTTCCTAAAGCAAAGACTAAAAAACTGCTTAAAAGTATCAGAGTTTGCAGTTGACTGTTGACTAGCAAAAAAAATAAATCTTTGAGCAACAGACATCATAAGTGCTTTGGTTTGCTCCACAGGTCAGAAGCTGTACACATAACCATGTACAATCTGTACACAGAGCTCCACATCTGCCCTTATCCAGCAGAAATGTCTCGTCATGAAGTTAAGGAACAGAAGTTATTGGGCCAGAGCCAGAACTCGTATTCCCTTTCACCCCAGGGATCTCCGATCATGGCCTCCACCACAGGACCACCCTTCTCCCACATCACACATAATTCAGCATGACTTTTCAGATTCTGAGTGCACTTGGAACACAAAGTCTAGGGAAA